ACCGCGTCCACTGGAGCACCCTCAGTAGTCAACCAAGCACCAAAAGTTTCCCATAGCGATCTAAGGCCTAGAGTTTCCACAGCGTTCATCTAATCTTGGCGGACGGCTTCTTTTGTAACCGCTTCAGCGGCTCTCCCTCGGTAGTTAACTGAGCGGCAGCAATTAAATAGGCAACAACCGAGACCAGCATTAGCTCGATAGTTTGTACAGAACGAATATGTAGTCCCTCAGGATTCCAGATAAGTCGGCCAGTGTTTAAATTGGCCAATACGCGAATTTTAGGGCTCGATCACGTGCACATGGTAAATTTTCCAACGGGGTTAGGGAGACCCAGAAAGTGAATCCGCAGCTGAGGTTTGCCCATCGTCGATACACTAGTAAATAGTGAACAGCCGCGCTTCAACGATTAATTCCTTGATTCGTTTTTTTCATAATTACTGTAAGGGCATATAAATGTGGAATGCGGTACTGGAGAGATAAGGACCACTAGAAGCGGTCTCACCTACTGATCTAATATCTTTCCCTTTCTGTAGACAATATTCCTAAGTTACTCGATATTCCTAAGTTGTACTCGATACCCAGTTGCAACGTGAGTGAAAAGTGGCAACGCACCGTCATACTCACTCGCTGCCAGAATCTCGCAAAGTACAGTTCATTAGCACACGTATATTTTTGTAAAACCTAAGTTAATCAGTCGAATGTGAATAAAGCATATCATCATACTATTTTAAGTCAGCGTCATCTTTTCTAAAAGAGGACCCTGCAATTTTTGGGGGCTCAACCGAGATATAGCCTACCATTCGACTGAACTTCCACCTTGGCACAAAAACACGTGGAGTGCGTGCAGAGAGCTGGGGAAATTGAGCAAATCGGCTAGATATCTTCAAATCTTCATAAGCAATTTGGCTGGAGTGTGACAAAGAAGGCTGGTGGCTTTTGCAAAGGCAAGAACTTGGAGAACTAGCGGACGAAGTGCTGGAAGGATTAAGAGGCAGCGGATCGTGGCTGGAGATCTAGGAGAAGCAGCAGACACGGGCTGGAAGCAGTGGAGATACAGCGAGCAAGACATTGGATCTGGCGTGGTCATCGGAGCGTGCGTGCAGGATTGTGCAGGCGGAAGGCTGGTGCACAGATCTTGGCAGCAGACGAAAGCATCCAGAAAGTTCCAGTTGAGTTTGGAAGTCTTCATTGTATGTGTGACGCTACAAAAGCGGGAAGCGTGGCAAAGAAATACGACGACGACCAAAAGCGACATCATTGAGCGAATGGCTGAACTTTTGGCAGAGTGTTGCCGGAAACTTTATTTCAAGTCGTTTGTAAAGTAGTGGGGTGACATTGAAAACAAGCAGTTCCAGAGACAGGGTGGTTAATCTATTTACAATTTGCTTTTGATACTAAATTTAAAAAACATTGTTTAATCTTAATAATCTACAGGACAAAGTTATAAAATGAAGAGAAACGAGATCTTGGCATTGCGTGTTGAAGAGTTGCGTCGGAAGTTGTCGGAGTTTCAGTTGGGTTCGACTGGATTGAAAGCGGAATTGCAAGAGAGGTTGTTGACCTACTACGGTCTAAACAACGATGGTGAGTCAGAAACGGAGGATAATGGTGAAGATGGTCTATCAGTAACGTCCGCAGAAACCACTATAAATCGGCCAAACGCAGCAGGTTGGCATCAAGGACTAGGAAATGAAAGGCAGGGTAGATCATGGTTCACATTGAAAGATGTAGAGGGCAGTGTGATGGTAACCAAGTCTGGCACTATATTTTCGCCAAGAGTTCTAAGTGTTCAGCAAATACCAACGACAGGATCAGACGACAACCAGGCAGGGCAAAGTACTTGTATGCAGCTAATTAGCGAGTTCGAAAGTCTGTGCATGATCAGCACGAAAGACTCTAAGACAGTTTCGGCAGTAGATTTGGAGCATTTGAGTCAGGAAGTAGCTTCTGAAGTGGAGTCGTTGATTGATAATTACAACCCAGAAAGAAATCTCACCTCCCCAGTCGAGATGAAGATCTTGTTGACAGACGAGTTGCCTGTTTACCAACATCCGAGACGATTAGCTTATTGCGATCAGAAAATTTTCGATGACCAGGTTCAAGAATGGCTAGAGGAAGGGATAATCAAGCCTAGTACATCCGAGTTGGCTTCGCCAGTGGTGCTTGTAGATAAGAAGAACGGGAAGAAGCGCTTGTGTTGCGATTATAGAAAGTTAAATGAAAAGATTGTCCGAGATAACTTCCCAACAGCTCAAATGGACTGTGTGATCGAAAAGCTACAAGGTGGACAAGTTTTTACAACTCTAGATTTGACAAATGGTTTCTTTCCCGTGCATGTTTCTCCAGAAGCCCAAAAGTATGCATCGTTCGTAACTCAGAGTGTGTTCCTATTTGTATGAGTTCCTATTTGTACCCTTCGGTATAACCAACTCTCCAGCAGTGTTTACCAGGCTTATCATGGCAGTTATGCGTGATTCGATTAAGAACGAGGATGCGGTTGTATACATGGACGATGTGATCATTTCGAGCAAGAGTATAGATGAGTGCGTGCAGAAGTTGAAGCGAGTTTTGAAAGTGGCACAAGGAAATGGCTTGCGCATTAATTGGAATAAGTGTCAGGTGTTGAAGCGCCAAGTTAACTTCTAAGGCTATGTCGTTGAAAGTGGTACCATCAAGCCAGGTAATGAGAAAACTCAAGCAGTTGCTGATTTTCTGATTCCGCGTGACAAGAAAGGAGTCCAAAGATTCTTAGGATTGACGTCGTACTTCCGCAGGTTTGTGGAAGGATACGCCGTAATTGCCAAACCGTTGTCCGACATGTTGCGCAAGGAGGTGAGGTTCGAGTTTCAAGACCAGCAGTTAGCAGCATTCAAAAAGCTTAAGGAAGCGTTGATCAGTGGACCAGTTTTGAAGCTCTATAATCATTCGCTTGACACAGAAATTCATACCGATGCATCCAAGTTCGGATTTGGAGCCGTTTTACTTCAACGAGATCCCTGTGATAACTTGTGGCATCCAGTTTTCTATATGAGCCGTAAAACCAAGCCATGTGAGGAAAGTATCATTCCTATGAATTAGAAGTACTTGCAGTTATTGGAGCCTTGGTAAAGTGGCGGGTGTACGTTCTAGGGAAAAAATTTAAAATTATTACGGACTGTAACGCCTTTACCATGACCATGAAGAAGAAATAGATTCCGCTCAGAGTGTCTAGATGGGCGATGTACCTACAAGATTTCGACTACGAAATAGAACACAGGTCGGGTTCGAAGATGAGACATGTCGATGCGTTGAGTAGGGTGTCATGTTATACGTTGACTGACAGTTTGTTTCATGGTTTGCGGGAAGCACAGCTATTAGATGATTGGACGAAGGTGCTCAAAAGTGTCGTTGAGACCAAAGGCTATGAGGACTTCTACATAGTGAACGAAGTTCTGTTCAAGGATCCTAACAAAGAGTTGCTAGTAGTTTATTCACTCATGGAAACCGAAATAATCCAGAGCAGTCACAAGCAAGGACACTTCTCATCCAAGAAAACTCAGGATTTGATTGAGAAGTCGTATTACATTCCGAAGCTAAAAGATAAAATAGCGCGAGTGGTCGATAGCTGCGTATAGTGCATCCTTGTGAAAGCGAAGGCTGGTAGGCAAGAAAGGTTCCTTACACCGATAGCCAAAGGAGACAAGCCGCTCGTCACATACCATGTAGATCATGTTGGTTCGATGTAGCTAACCAAAAAACGATATAATCACATCTTCGTGATTGTAGATGCCTTTTCCTAGTACGTATGGTTGTATCCTACAAAAAGCACAGGGGTTGATGAAGTGGTGAATTGTTTGGAGCGCAAGGCTGTTGGTTTTGGAAATCCGTATAGGGTAGTGTCAGATCGTGGAGCTGCATTCACATCCCACCTGTGCAAGGAGTACTGCGATAAGGAGAAAATCCAACATTTGCTGATTGCAACAGGCGCACCAAGGGGAAACGGACAAGTAGAACGCATGCATAAAATCGTTGTTCCGATGCTCTCCAAACTAATCCTTGAAAGCCCAGGGCGCTGGTATAAGCATTTAGGTAAGGTACAGCAGATTATAAACAACACTGAGCCAAGGAGTACCAAAGTTTTACCATTCAAACTGCTAACAGGATTAGATATGCGGAGAACATTCAGAGTATCCAAGCGGAGAACAAGAAAGCTTTTTATGCAAAAAGAAAGGTCGAAAAGAAGTTCCAGGTAAACGATTTGGTAGCCATTAAACGCACCCAGTTGGTACTGGTTTAAAATTGAAAGGAAAGTACCTAGGGCCGTATAAAGTAGTCAAAGTAGGAAACCATGGAAGATACGAAGTTGAAAGGGTAGGAGAAGGTGAAGGGCCGTATAAGACATCAACCGTCGCAGAGTACATGAAGGCATTCGGGACGAATCCTGCGTCAGAAGGGCCGATTGTGGGATGCGGTACTGGAGAGACAAGGACCACTAGAAGCGGTCTCGCCTACTGATCTAATATCTTTCCCTTTCTGTACTCCATATTCCTAAGTAACAGTCGATATTCCTAAGTTGTATTCGATACCCTCGCAAAGTACAGTTCATTAGCACACGTATATTTTTGTAAAACCTAAGTTAATCAGTCGAATGTGAATAAAGCATATCATCATACTATTTTAAGTCAGCGTCATCTTTTCTAAAAGAGGACCCTGCATAAATTCAAACTATGTTAGAATTTCCTTAACATTTAACTCACCCCGAATAAGTGCTAGATCGGTCAGAGTCACTAAATATGCACAGAATGACGCACTGAGAGAAAAGTTGGAAATTTAATTAAATTAAATATTAAGTAAGATAAAATTACTTTTGGAACCGAAAATATAGGAGTAGGTAGAACCGAATGAAAGAATAAAAACATAATCATGTAACGGGTTCGATTTTAGGAATTATTAATGAAGAAACTAGTTGGTTGACTAAAACATATGTATACTCTGTATTTATTTAACCCTTTGCGAGCCAGAGTCGCTATTCTTTTACAGTCACCGCTCGGGAGATCGATCTTTCGCCGTGGAGAGTACACAACGTGAGTTACTACAGTTTTATATTTTACTGGTTAATTTATACCCGGCATTCCAATTCAATGTTTAATAAAATGGTCAAACAAAAGTAAAAGAGAACATGCACACCTGGTAAAAGCTGATTAAATTGGAGATTTTTATGAACATTAGTAAAACATTTGTCGTCCTAAAGCCGAAGGCGATTCATTTGTAGAAGTACGGTAAAAAAAAAATATAAATAAATTAATAATAATACTAGTAAGAATAATAAAATTATGCTGTGAATACACTGAGAGAAAATAAGAACAACATTTAGAACCAAATAATGGAAGGTATTTCCTTTGTAGAGTGAGAGCTTTTTAAAACATTAAGTAAAACTTATCTATTGAAACAACAATAAATTTCTTTATATTTTATATATTAAGACCCCTTCATAAAATTTAAGATTACCTCATAATATCCGCACCTAGTGATTATATCTGTTTATGGAGAACAAACTATTGGATTTTTTGGGTCATTAGACATCGATAGTATACATAGCCTCTTTTTATTCCCTTCGGCTATTGACATTTGCAATTGTATTCCACTTATATCTTTTCCCAATGTCAAAAGGGGAGTATCCCGCACTGACAACATAGGCATAAAATTTATTTTATATTATTAAAATGGATTTAAAGGAAACCATGGAGTAATTATTTCGCTGAGACTCTGCAGGTGATGATGCGGTCCTAAGGGTATCGAAAGGGATCACGCGAATCAACAATTGGATCCAGTGATCTTAGGTAGGGCGGGCCACAGGCGTTGAATCTAGTAGTTCAATCTATCTCTTTACTGAAATTAACTTACATTTTCCCGGTTTCTCCCCATCGTCTACGATCTAATTTCGTATGTCGCCGCAAGCACGCTCAATTTCTTGATTAATAATAATAGACAAGTACCAGATCTGGATTAGCAAGACCTCCATCCCCAAAGCTGACAAGCTAGAGCCGGATACTATAGCGTGCCCCGCGATGACAGATCTGTGTTTAATACTGTGCTGCATAAGGTTGCACGTTACAATCTTTAGGTCATCCGCATAAAGAAAGAAGCTAGAAAAGTGGATACAGGCACAAATGTCATTTTAAAAATAATGAAAAGTAAAGGGCCAAGGGAGCTACCCTGAGGAAGTCAAGATGTTGCTTTATAAGGATGGGATAATGCACCACCTACTTCAACATGATAGCGTCGGTTATCCAAATACGACGCTATCCAGTTAAGAAAAGAGGAGTGAAAGCCAAGTTTGGAAAGTTTAGCCTTTAGGGCAGAGTGACAAACCTTGTCAAAAGCTTTGGCAAAATGATGAAAATCCATCAAAGTCTAGTCTTGGGGAATCATCAAAATAACTTATTGCTTCAGAAATGTCATCATACGATATGTCCAGGCTTCCAATGTTGCAAATTTCTGCAATTGAATTTAAAGTTTCCAGGCCATACCAATAATCGGAAGGTTCCATGTTCGAGAAAAAAAAGGCAGCAAACAAATTGGCAATATCGGCCTCAGTGGAAGCAACAACATCACCATACGACATTGTTGAAGGTATAGACGAATGTGATTTTTTTGAGTTAACAAAGAGCCAAAGCGCCTTAGGGTTGGCCTTCAAACTATGCTCAACTTCGCAAATGTATTTGCGTACTTGTACTTTCACAATCGGCCAGGCTGTGTTTTATAACATTTTTTGTAGTATTTGTTTCTAAGATTTTTCAATTTTTGCAGTCCCTTAGAATACCAAGGAAGCCTGTAGGAAACCCGTACCTTGGAACGGACTATGCTGTCAAGAGAATTTCTAATCGTTAAAAGAAAGGTTTTAGAATTAGTTTCAATGCAAAGGTTCGATAGCTAGGCACCCCAATTTAAGGATAGCATGCAATCCCTTAGGGAACTCAAACTAGAGGGATCAAACATATATCTAGAATCATTGTAAAATTCGATGTTTAAGCACAAGGGTTTGTGATGTACAACACAATTGGAAATCGTAAATTCAGCCAGAGTTACGTTAGAATGAACAATATAATTAATGAAGATTAAATCAAGAAGCTTGCAAATCATTGAAAATATTATTAATTTGGCTGAGGCCCAAACTAAAACAGTCGTCAATGACAATTATTTCATGCGAGTAATGAACATTTCCGGACACCATAGCAGATGCTTGAGGGTCCCACGTCCAGAAAACTGAGCTGAGGTTGAAGTCTCCTGCCACACATATGCCATCAGAGTCCTCCAAGCTAGCATGGATGTTGGAGATGTTGTCTAAGTGAGCCTGGTAAAGCCCAGAATTACTGCCAGGTGAAACATAGGAATCTTCCCGGATGAGCCAAACACCGTAACCACCAATTGGTCCAGAAGGGAGTCATCATTAAGGACTCGAATTACAGTGCAACAGAATTTACGGCTAACAGCCACGATGACACCACCTCCTCTCTCGCACTGCATTCTTCCGAAGTCTCTAGGTTAGGTTAGGTTATGGCGACTGTCGGACTATAGTCCGACACACTTAGACCTCTATGGGTCTATTGTGATACCGCATGATCTCGTTTTTTCCTTCTCTAGGGTCCCGTTTCTAGTAGCTTCAACATGCGTTAGGCTGATCAGCATGACTTCCAACCGGAAGATTTAATAAAGGCACTTTTGTTTTTGAGATTAATCTCCGATACTTCGGTAAGATCGTCGATGAAAGGACTTCCTAAGTGTTCCAGTCGGAGTCTGCATAGGGCTGGACAGATGCAGAGTAGGTGTTCTACCTATTCCTCTTCTTCCTCATCCCTGCAGCTTCTGCAGAAATCATTTTGCGGGGCTTTAAGCCTGCCGGCATGTGTGCCAACAAGCCAGTGGCCTGTAAGAGCTCGAATCAACATGCCACACTCTGTGCGGCTGAGTTTGAGTAATTCCGACGTTTTTTTTTTGTTTATCACAGGCCATGTCTGGTGAGAGTTACGACACTGTGGTGCGTTTTGCCAATGGGTGTTGTTAGTAGTTTTTTATAGTTAGCTTGCAAGTTGCGATGGGCATACCGACATTCTCCTTTCCTGGGAGGAGAGGCTTGGTGGTGCCCTGCCTGGCTAACTCGTCCGCTATGCATTTGCCTACGATGTCCCGGTGACCCGGAACCCATATTATGCTGATGACAAACTGATTTGCCATCTCGTGGAGAGATCTGCGACAGTCTGATATTGTACGGGAGTTGGTGTTTGTCGAGTATATCGATTTAATAGCCGCTTGGCTGTCAATATATATGTTTAGGTGTCCTCTTTGGAGGCTTAAGTTCCCTAAACAGGTTAGTGCTTCTTTTATAGCGTGGACCTCCGCCTGAAAGACGCTACGGTGGTCCGGGAGTCTGAATGACTTCTGACATCTTTATGATTTATAATGCTGGAGAATTTTAGCATGGCCATAAAATTGGGCTTTCCACTGCCCTGTGTCCCTCAGTCGAATAGCTGCCGATTTGGCCCTTTCCATGCCTGCTAGATCGCATTCAGCGCTTCGCTCGGGGTGGTTCGAAGGGCTCCTCTAATACACAAAGCCGCCATTCGTTGTACTTTGTTTTAGGAGTCAGAATGCATTGTTTATGCAGGGCGGTCCACCACAGAGCCACTTAACACCTCCTCCATTCAGAATCCGAATGCTGCGATATTCCACAGGAGGGGTGATAGTACACCTCCTTGCGAGATGCCTCTGTTCACTAGTCTAGTCTGGGTTGAGGTCCCTAGTGTGGCTCTAACCATTCTGCTTATCAGCAATTTATGGATTAGCCTCACCATTGGCGGCTCAACCCCTAGTTCGGTGAGAGATTCTGTTATAGCAGGGGGGAGCACGTTATTGAAGGCTCCCTCTATATCCAGGAAGGCGATCAGTGTGTATTCCTTGATGCTGAGTGATTTCTCGATGCTGCTTACCACCAAGTGTTGACTTACGTTTGGTGTAAGCGTGCTGTGCATCTGATTTTTGTGTCGGGTCTACGGTGGCCTTTACGTGTAGGCTTATCATTCTTTCAAAGCCCTTAAGCAGGAATGATGTTAGGTTTATTGGCCTAAAATACTTTGCTGTGGTGTGAGTGGCTTCCCCTGCCTTGGAAATGATCACCACCTTTGTTTCTTGCCATGCTGTTGGTAGTTATCCTACCGCCAGGATGGATTGGAAGATTTTCTTCAACCAGTTTATGGCTATTTGTCCTGCTTGTTGGATGTGAGCCGGTGTTATCCCGTCCGGTCCCGGCGATTTGTATGGTTTGAAACTATGAATGGACAATTTCATGTTGCGGTCTGATAGGAGTGGATCTAATTCGATTCCCTCTACTGCTTCTCTTTCAGGAGGATGACCTGTTTGTTGGCTCCCCGGAAAGTGAGCGTCTAGGAGCAGGTCCACGGACTCTTTACTGGAGTCTGACCATGATCCATTTGCTTTTTGAAGATAGCCCAAAGGTGCGGCTGTCTTAGAGAGTATTTTCCTGAGCCTTGCGGCATCAGATGTTTTTCCTATGTCAGAGCAGAAGGTCTGCCATGCAGTTCGTATCGCTCTTCTAATGGCCTTTTTGTAAGAGGCCTGTTCATGCTTGTAGTTCTGCCAGTTAGTGTCCTCATTTCCCGCCTTTGCTCTGTTAAACAGGCATAAGAATAGGTTCGAATTTAGAATAAAATCAAAAAGAGACTCACCTCTGTCGTTGTTGTTTGGACAACCCCACTGGGTGTGATGGGCGTTGGCGTCACAGCCTTCTACCAAACCTTTCCTGAGCTTTTCGCATTCCTCTGCCAGTCCTCTGACCAGCGCATCTGGGGGGTTTTCCTTTTCAAAGGCCAAGTAGGCCGATAGGACCCATATAGAACCATTTTGCAGCTCCAGGCTTACTGCGCTGTTGTCTCCGTTGCTGTAATTGCGAAATAGAAATATACTAAGACGCCTTTTGGCTAATATGCAGGTTCGAATTTTACCTTATTTGGGTTTAAGCATAAGCTTGTATTCCTTTGTTCCTAGTCCAGCAACCTTGCCTCCTACTATCCAAAGTTCCTGAAAAGGACTAGGTCGGCTCCGCCTTCGGTCAGACGAAGCAGAAAATCAGCAAACGCTGCTTTACTGTGGTGAAGGTTTATTTGTAGAAGTCTTACTGACATCTACAGCTTCAACCTCCACCACAGTGACGTCGGCCTCCTCTGTATAGCTGGGGTCTACGTTCTCGAAAGCCGGTCCGAGCGCTCGCATCTCTCTGCTTAGCGACGAATCAGTAGAGTAGCCGTCCTCCGGCCCACCAGGTGCCTCCAACTTCTCAGCAAGCACCTGCTCGGCTGGGTTGCCGGCAGAGCTACTAGCGGCGTTGGAGTCGCCCTTATACACCTTGATGTGTATCGCACTGAACCCGAAGTTTAGCACTCCTCGGAGCAACTGACTCCTTGTTCAGGACCATCACCGCCTGGTTGACGTCCCCTTCATGCTCCTCCACCTTGACGAATTTCCAGTCGTTCGTGGGGAGGTGCGGGTTGCATTCTTGCAACATGAAGAGGATGTCCTCCGGCGCCTTGATCGCTGCTGGAAGCCAAATCCTGGATCGGGGCCTACTGGGGACATCGCGGCAGTCTAGCGCGACGATGTTCGCCCCTTCGTAGACCTCAACGAGCTTGCTCGTCGCCTTTTTGTACAAGTCGGCCGACCGCTGACTGTCGCAGGCCACCACCTTGACGCTGCCCTGGTACCAGCCCGCGTCCATGCAGCAGGGCGAGGTGCCTGGCTTCTCCCGTACCATGCGCAGGCAAATGAGGGAAAGGGACTCCACTACCTTCCACTTGTTCCTGGGGATCCTGCCCTCCGGATTTCCCCTGTCAATTAGGCCGAGTAGGACACGGTTTTTCGTGATTTCGGCGAACGAGACCGATGGCTGGATCTTAGATCTCTTCGCCGATGGTCAGGGTAGTTCGAGGGATCGCTGCCTTTTCGCCTGAGTCCCTTCTTGAGTGGGCTTATCCTGCCCGTAGTTAGGAAACACCTTCCTTGCCCACTCTACCTTTTTTCGCCATTCAGGCGAAGGTGTGGCAACGGTGCTCCTAGTATGAGAGCGCAGAGTCTGGGCGGCAGTCCGCCTTTCTGCGTATGTGTGTTTGTTTGTTCCAGCGGGTGGCCCGAGCGCCTTGGCAGTGCCTACCGCTGCTTTAGGCGCAGATGCACCCGTGGCGGAGGCGTTTGCGGCCCTTTCGGGAACGTGGTGGTGCGGATGGTGGAACCAGTGTTCAGCTTATCCGAAGGTTTTTTGAGAGTTTCCGTCTCTGTGTTTTGTGTTGTATTGTTAATTGACTTGGTTTGTTCCATAATTGGTCCCACGAGTTTCGGAGAAGGGGAAAAGTCCGTCCGGGCAGAGATCCGCGATGCCCGGGTAAGGCGATAGTTAGAACAGGGGGTCGCCATGTCCCTGAGCACACCGTTTGAGACTGGGCTAGTTTTTGGTCTGGGCCCCCAGCCAGGCTGACTCTTGGCACGTTCCGTATTACACCGTAGTTCGGCCCGGAGTGAGATGTTGTTTGGGAGGGGAGATGGGTAGATGTTGTGTTGGGAGTGGGTTTGTGTAAAGCAACTATTTAGATGCGGCTGAACAACTCGCATCGTCGGTATTGCTTCGTTGCAATATACCCGCTGGGTGTCCGGGACTGTTACTGTTTTTACTGGGGTTTCCGTTCACGATTCCGTGTTTGACTTCTCCCACCAGCTTATTCACAGTTGGCCTCGAGAGAGGTCGTCCGCTATCCGCAGCCTGCGACCCGCTCGGTTGCCCCAGCTAGGCGACTTTGGAACCATCTCACAAGTTCCTTAGCCGAGTCCGAAGTCTCTATCTTTACGAAAAACTTGGAATAATTTAGGATCGAAGAATTCATTCGAACTAAAGTTAGAATTTAGCCAAGTCTCAACCAGTATGATAATGTCATAGTCACTGTTGGAAGTATTCATAAAGACAGACTGCGTTTTAGTTCTCATGCCGGGTATATTTTGAAAGTATATTTTCAGGCCATTATTTCCTGAATGATGGCTGTTTGAGTTTACTGCAGACAAGCCCCCTGCAGGTTGCCAGTCAGCGCATATTGTTGAAGAGGAATTCTCAACATCCAAATTAGATGTCGGAAAATAATCGATGTTTACCTACAACGAAGTTTCGATGTTTTTCAGAAAAAAAAACATCGATGTATCGATACATCGAACTTTTTTTGGGTGTAATTTTGAAAAACGTTTTTAATCCATATAATATTATAAACGAATACCACAAGTAAACCCAATGTGTAAGTTCATTATAAAAAATTATGCTTTATTTGAGATCCATTGTTTTCTGTTTTTTATTCCTGCACATTCAAAGTGAAACTTAAGCTACTCGTTCAGCACAAAAATTAAAATTAAATCACAATTCAATTAAAAATAAAATAAAAAACAGTATAAAGTTCTTCTCGAAAAACAAGAAAAAAGTAACATAACTAAAAGATAAGACAAGTCAAGACAAGTTTGTCATATTGCCACTTGCTTGGTAGGGTTTACCACATTTTATGCATTAGGCTGTCTTGCCATCAGCCGATTTGTCAAAATAGTTCCATACAGCAGATTGCCCACATTTCTTCCTCTTATTTGGGACCGTACCTTCTTCCTCTTGACAGGCAACTATATTGTTCAAAAAAAACATTACAAATCATATACATTCATATTCAAATTACTCTAATTACCATTGCTGTTCTGCTCTTTCAAAGTCTTCTCCATATCGAAGCGCCGCCAACACAAATATTTGTCGAAATCTATACCAATTTGAACGTATATTTATACCCGTTACTCGTAGAGTAAAAGAGTAAACTAGATTCGTCGGAAAGTATGTAACAGGCAGAAGGAAGCGTTTCCGACCCCATAAAGTATATATATTCCTGATCAGGATTACTAGCCGAGTCGATCTAGCCATGTCCGTCTGTCTGTCCGGATGAACGCTAAGATCTTGGAAACTATAAGAGCTAGGCTATTGAGCTTCTTACGCAGCGCAAGTTTGTTTCAGCAGAGTGCCACGCCCATTTTAACGCCCACAAACCGCCCAAACCTGTGACGCCCACAATTTTCATGCTAGATAAAAAATTTTAACTGAAATGAATTGGTCTTGTCAATACCTATCGATTTATCCTACGCCCACTCTAACGCCCATAACGCTGAAATCTGTCTACCGCCGGTAGGTGGCGCATTTTAATCTCGCTTTGCTGCTTGCATATCTCCGTTTCCCTTTGGTCCCTTTAGCTGAGTAACGGGTATCTGATAGTCGGGGTACTCGACTATAGCGTTCTTCCTTGTTTAGTTTGTTTTACTTAATTAATCAAAAATGTGCTTAGCTTACCAAGATTCTATCCTGCCAAGTAGTCATGGGTAAAGAGGAAACATCGAACATCGACGTTGAAATCCTCGATGTTTCCTGAGTTTTGGAAAACATCGATGTATCGATACATCGCCGATGTTATTTCCAGCTCTACCATAAAGTGAATATATTCTTGATCAGGATCACTATCCGAGGCGATCTAGCCAAGTCCGTGTGTCCGTCCGGATGAACGCTAAGATCTCGGAAACTATAAGAGCTAGGGTATTGGGACTTGGCATGCAGATTCCTGAGCTTCTTGCGCAGCGCAAGTTTGTTTCCGCAGCGTGCCACGCCTCTCTGGCTCCTTCAGTTTAGATGCCAACAAAAATGTCAAAGAAAATTTTCCACGCCAACTTTACCGCCTACAAACTTCAAAAAATCTTAAATATGAACGCGGATATTTCGGAAACTATCAAAGGTAGAGAATAGGGATTTCAGATTTAGAATTCCGTAGCTTTGTACGCAGTGCAAATTTGTTACGCGAATATACCAAGCCCACTCTAACGCCCACAAACCGACCAAACCTGTGGCGCCCACAATATTCATGCTAGATAAAAAGTTTTAACTGAAATGTATTAAGCTCGTCAATACCTATCGATTGACCAAAAAAATGTTTGCACGCCCACTGTAACGCCCATAACGCCTAAATCTGTCTACCGCCCACATAACCACATATTGAGATCACGGGTAAGTGGCGCATTTCAATCTCGCTTTGCTGCTTGCATATCTCCATATTCCTCGGCCCCATTTGCTGAGTAACGGGTATCTGATAGTCGAGGTACTCGACTATAGCGTTCTTCCTTGTTTAACATATCAACTTCTACTCTTGGGGATATCATTCTTTAAATTTCGAATAAATTAAAAAAAAAATTGGATGACTTTATCAGATAGCTGCCATAGGAACGATCGGATAATTAATGTGAAAATAATACAAGGACCGTTAGTAAATTGAAATGGAACATTGTCTTAATATTTCTGTAATTAGTTTTCCTTCTAGACTTTTGGGAACGTTTTATACCGATTGCCTTAAAACGGAGAGACTAGTTTCCTTAACAAAATAGGTCATCGGCCATGCCATGATTAAGATGCAAAAGCTATATTAAAATTCCGTCAAAAAGTTAATCAGTTTAAATATTACCCACAATTAATAATGAATATTATTATTTATCCTTCTCTTGCAGATCCGTCACTACCGCACCCATACTGGCGAGCGGCCGTTTGAGTGCGAGTTCTGCCACAAGCTGTTCAGCGTGAAGGAGAACCTGCAGGTGCACCGCCGTATCCACACGAAGGAGCGGCCGTACAAGTGCGACGTGTGCGGACGAGCCTTCGAGCACTCCGGGAAGCTGCACCGCCACATGCGCATTCACACCGGCGAGCGGCCGCATAAGTGCTCCGTGTGCGAGAAGACATTCATCCAGTCCGGCCAGTTGGTGATCCACATGCGCACCCACACTGGCGAGAAGCCGTATAAGTGCCCGGAGCCGGGCTGCGGAAAGGGCTTTACGTGCTCCAAGCAACTCAAAGTGCACTCACGAACGCATACGGGTGAGAAGCCCTACCACTGCGACATTTGCTTCCGAGATTTTGGATACAACCACGTGCTTAAGCTGCACCGTGTGCAGCACTATGGCTCTAAGTGCTACAAGTGCACCATCTGCGAAGAGACGTTTAAGAACAAGAAGGAGATGGAGGCGCACATCAAGGGGCATGGCAAGGAAATCCCCGAGGATGAGGCGGAGGCTTCGGCTTCGGCAGCATCAGTTTCAGCGGGCTCTTCTGGTGGATCGCCCTTGCAAGGAGACAGCTGTAACTCTGAGAGCAGCAACCACTCGCCGCCCAGCTCGCCGCTGACCACGAAGATGCCTCGACAGGCACGTCAGCCGTGTGAATCCAAAGCCGCGACATCTGCTCTTCCTGTCGCCTTTTCCTCGCCACTTTCGCCCAGTTCGCTAAGCTCCACGTACTCGCCATCGGTTAGCAGCCAGGCCTCACCTCCGCCCACATCGGGTCAATACCTGCCCGTCCAATTGGAGGCGGATGCCTTAAGCCGGGACAGTGGGGTTTCAAACGCCCAGCTTGCCCGCAGCAGCTATACGGACGAGGAGCCGACAGACCTGAGCATGCAACAGGGCCAGAACCAGGCCCCTGTACCGACTGCGTGCTTTTACCAGGTCCCTTCGAGTCTTCTGGACCTGCAACCCCAAGCCCCTAACCTCACAATTAATCCCGCCCTGCTCGAAGCAGCCAATATGGCGCGTCGCCATCACGACAACGATTACCTAGAGCAAGATGAGGACGTGCACGCTGCCGCCTGGCAAATGATGCAACTTCGTCGTGGGCACGGGTCCTTACCTTCAATTGAGATCCAGGCTCAAACGACCCAGCCACACGTCCCTACTTTGCACGACAGTGACCTTGCGGCCAACTATGATGACACCCATGAAGCCACCGTTCTGATCGAGCACTTTAAGAGGGGCGATCTTGCTCGCCACGGGCTGCACAAGGGCTATGCGCCGGTGCCCAAATATGAGTAAGTATGATTTCCACTCCTACGGTCTTAAACATTTTTTACCCGGCTCTTTGGTAGAAAATACTCTTTATAAAGCTTTACATGCCCGGCAATCGATTAAATATATTTGTATAACAAAAGATTTATATTTTAGTTAAGAGATATTCGTAATCCTTTCTGTAAACACCTCAATGATTTTAAAAATACCAATATTTATACGATTCAAAGATTAAAGAAAACTTGCTCAATTAGCATATGTAAATTCATATTATTTTATTATTATATTTTTTTTACATTTATAATATTTTAGCGCTAAAATGAATATGTTGTTAAGTACCAACCATGAAATACTAAACGACTGTCAGCTATTAACTTGATGTTTACTTCCTTTAAGGTCCGCTTTACCTAATCCGGACATCGTGCGACGCGTGGAAGCGGCAATTGGACTCCGGTCCAGCACGGAGTCACCCGAACGAAGTTCTTCGCCGGAGAGCGACTCCCTAATGATGGCCGACCGGAACGTTATGACGCTACCGCTTCGCAAGCGCAAACACTACATGAATAAATTGGACGACGGTCAAGCAGATCCCAAAAAGACCGTAAAGGGAAAAGACCCTGCCGAGGATGGGTCTTCCACTACCAGTGAAGTCGTTTCTGTTAGCGCCGACGATGGAGCTGGGTCAAAAGTGATGAGATTGAGTTCGGTCATCCAATTTGCAAAGGCCTCATAGGGGTCTGAGGCCTCTACCCAATCAGCATTAAGACTGTCCAAACAAATTCTAACTGAAATAAGTTTAAGTTTTTTTTCTGAGGTTCGAGGTTAGGCCCAGAATAAATAAAAATATGTAGAGATAGGGCATTCGAATATTTTTCAAGCAGGAAAAATATAAATGCCAAAAGTATTATAAAATGCGAAAATTTGTTTTAAAATAATAATAACTCCCTGTTGCTTTTTATTGGCTTGATCCGATTTGTTTGATTTTAAAAAATTTGGCAATGCTGTAACATTTGTATTTTAATTTGGCATTTAGGTATAGGTTTTTTCTGTATTGTCACTTAGTCAAATTGCAACCATCGGAATCGGAATTATGCATACTAATCAGAAGCATTAATAAGTTTAATTTAAATGTGATCACTTAACAAGACACAACCCAAGATATGTGAGTAATTAAACAAATACTAATAAAAACGGTATAAGGCCATATTGGCACTTTATATTTATTAATACCGGTTATACGTATTTATTAGTGTAATAAACTCTGCTCGCCAAACCTCTTTCTTCCCCTCCACCATTAGTGTCAGCACCATCTTCGACATCCTTCATCATTTTATATGCATTTTTATATTTTATATATAACGGCACATAGGCACTAAATAAGATAATAATGAAACGGAACGGTAATTTTAATTTTACAAACGGAGAATATTGAACTGATACACAAGAACAAAGCAAGCATAACTAGGTTTATACAATTTCAAACATAACAAATTAAATTAAGTTCGTCAACATACTTTTTTGTAAACGCAGATTTAATATTTAGGTCTAAATTGTAAAATCAAAAATTGCATTAAAAACATACACAATTAGAAAGTCTATAACAAATGTGTAATAAAAAATTAATATTTGTATGGAATTTGTCTTTATACCAGTACGTTAACATAATAATACATATAGGAACTTATTAAATTCCTCATTTAGTAAAATTATTTAAGAATATTATAAGAGCTCTATCTCCCAAGAAATGACAAGACTTTTCAGATCAAGCTATATTTTTAATTTTTTGTAAATATTTCTTGAAACATATTGGAAATATGCATACAGCAATATCAATAGATGTCGAAAGTAAAAGGACCACAAAATACAATCGATGCCCAAGTCTGACAATGATTATTATTCTTATTTGTTTCTTCATATCCTTTTATATGTATAAGGATACTATATAAGGATATTGTAAGGATACTATAAGGACAATAGCCTTGAATATAAAAGCATATTAAACGACAGGTAATCTGGATTATTTGTTAATACGACAGGTTGTCGTATATGCACGACGAAACCTTTGTCGGGGATCCAGTTTATGAAAGCCGAGACTATTGGTGGTAGTAATTATTTGCTGCTAAATATCTCAGAATCTGTGCTTCCTGTGTGTATCGGAAATTCATTAGAGTTCATGACCTCTTTAAAAAGTACGTCTCCTTGCAGTTATTCATGCTTAAAGAACAATTAAGGTACCTTGAGGTAGAAGCCGGCCAGCAGAACATTCGCATCTGGTTTTGTTTTGACTTTGCCAGGATAATTTTTAGTGGCGTTCTGCTTTTCCTACCCCCTCCTGCAATACTGTCAAAACATCGACATCTAACGAACGACTTTCAGTCATGACATGGCGCCCTGTTAAAATAAACTTTCGCTGCGCAAGAAGCTCAAGAATCTACTTACTAAATGACCACTTTCTAGCTTTCATCGGACGGACAGACAGACGGACAGTCGGACAAACGGAGATGGCTAGATCGACTCGGCTAGTGATCCTGATCAAGAATATATATACTTTATAGGTCGGAAACGCTTCCTTCTACCCGTTATATATTTTCGACGAATTTAGTACACCCTTTTACTCAATGAGTGACGGACATAATAAGGGTTTCTTTAAGGAGGCAACAGATTACTATTTGGCAGTGTTGTGTCTTTCAGCATTATCATTACATTTTAAATAATTTTGAAAATGCAAAACTTAATAATTAATTGCTATTGACAAAGTAATGTTAATGAAAAATAATATTATTACTTTTGAAAATGTAATGTCAATGAAAAACCAATTCATTACTTTGAAAAAAGTAATGCTAATGGAAAATCGTTGCAATACTTTTCAATAATATAATAATAGTAGCAATGCATTGCATTACTTTAAAAAAAAATAATGCCAATGGAAGCAAGTATTGTGAAGTATTGTGAAAGCAAAAGGAATGTCGCGTTTTTGCAGAGCTCCCGAAACAGTTGCTCAAAAAGTCTATTAAGTCCATAAACATAAATTATTTCTATCGGACTATAAGCCGCCTGTGGTCTGCGATCTTTTAGCGGTCAAAACGTGCGTGTAATCTCCATATTTTTGTATAAAAACACTTAAAACACATTTCTTTTGGTCGAAAGTGGAAAGATAAAAGAAAGGAAACATACACACACCTATACTGCAGTGCACATTTACACAAGTCACTCAAACTCAAAATTTATCAAAACAACGACATAATGAATGCACCAAAGCGGCTAAGGAGTGAAAGGTAGAATGCCGAAATCAAGGTAGCTCGCACATAAGACACACAATTGCTGCAACAAATTGATGCAAAATTCACGAGTCAACGAAAGGAAATCAACATGGAACTGTTGCAGCTGATCGACGACAAATTTGCAGAGCAATGGGAGTCACTGGGTAGAGAGTATCGAGAGAGCGAGGCAGGCTTTCTCAACACTCTACAGGCAAAATTCGATGCAATGAACACAGAAATACACAACCTTACGAAACGAGTGCGAGAGCTGGAAACCGAGCCAAAAGAGGTGAATACACTGAAACAACAAGTGTGTGAACTGGATGCTCAACAGGCAGCAAAGTGCAATGCACAGGAGGTCGCGGATGTTGCATGCAACATCAGTTACAACCGCAAGTCGAGGGCGAAAATTTGACCACCGTTTTCAATCGACTTTGTTTCTCCGCGAGCTAGGTCTTTTTTTTGAGTCCGACCGCGCCAAAGAAACTCACTTGTCGACCCAGTAATAATAATAAAAATGGATCACGTGCGCGAAAAAGCTGCGCTGCTGCGGGCGATTGGAGTGCACCGACAAACAACCAAATCGCAGCTGAGCTTACAGCTGATCGGTTTTGACTCACCGGCACTTATATACTTACAATTAACGAAAACAAATTACGAAATTTTTAAGCATGCCATGCGACTCAAAAAACAAAACCGCGTAGCGGCCGTCTTTACTCGCCGTGGAGACGTATTTGTTAAGCCCATAGACGGAGGAGAGGCTTACTACGTGCAAAGCTCTAATGAGCTTTCTGATCTGAGTAGTGATGTGGGCGAAATCAACACAAGCAGAGATGCCGTTTTAGAGCATAATTCATTTCGTAATTAAAATATTTTCTATCTCTATATTAGGATTTTAAATTAGTTTAATATCTTTAACTCCTGTTAGTCATTTGTTTAGGATCAGTCGCATTGTTAATTTAGTAGTTTGCCTAATTTATTGTCCTTGTTTTTTTACTTTGAAATTTAGAACTATTCACAATGGAAGAAAACCTGAATAATTTAACAGCAAATATATATTAGCGAATATATTTTTCTTGAAATACAAAACCCGATTATGGAGAAAAATCTGTTAATTGGCTGCACTTATCGTCCGCATTACAACACAAATTATGATGATCTAATCAATATTCTGACAGACATTACAGTAAACTTCACAGATGTAATCCTTGCAGGCGATTTTAATAATCTCATCTTACCAGCAACATGGAATCGCTAGGTCTGAAACCAGTAAATCTTTCATTTCCAACACACTTCAGCACAACACGTAACACATTATTAGATTTGTTTTTTGTAAGTGATGTTAATAAAATATGTTTGTATGATCAGCTAATCGTTCGGTCCTTTTCAAAACATGACCTTATATACCTGACCTATAACTTTGACCTTAACTACACGGACCATACAATATCTTATCGTGATTTTAAGAATATTAACTATATTAATTATATATATATTAATTATATAATGTTGAACGAAGCATTCGACCAGTGTGTATGGAACAATATTTACAGTCTTCCAACAGTTGATCGTCAACTTAACTTTCTACAACTTAATATTAGCCACTTATACGATAGTTTTGTTCCAGTTAAAAGTAAAACAATTCGACCGTCCGAAAAACCATGGTTTACCAATAATATAAAATTGGCAAATATAAAACGTAATGAAGCATACCAGAAGTGGAAAAGATACAAAACACCGCAACACCACAGCATGTTTGTATCTCTGACGAAAACGGTTACCAAACTAATCGACTCTGCAAAATCAAACTTTTTTAGCCAAAAATTTAAAAACTCAACCTCTTCGAGACATACATGGAAACAGATTAAAGCTCTAGGGATAGGTAAACAAAAGACATTACAGGAACTAGACGTTGACATAGATGAACTCAACCTTAAATTAGCAGAATGCCAAGTTCCTAAGGTCACAACCAACACATACCTAAATTCAGTACCTGAAAACATCTGTGATACTAGGTTTAGATTTATGTGTGTTGACCAATGTGATGTTTTAGATAATATTCTTAAAATTAAGTCTAACGCAATTGGACCTGACGATATTCATCCTAAATTTATAAAAATTCGACTTCCCAAACGTATCCCTTACCTTACGCACACATTTAACACGGCTCTTACCACGTCTACGTTCCCGGATTGCTGGAAAACTGCCAAAATTATCCCAATACCTAAATAAAACAAAGAATACCGGCCGATATCTGTTCCTCCGTACCTCTCAAAGGTGTTTGAAAATATTGTCGCATCACAAATAAATAATTTTATATCTGTCAATAGCCTCTTAAATGACCATCAATCTGGATTTAGAAAAAATCGAAGCTGCACTTCAGCCATCTTAAAAATAACTGAAGATATTCGTCAACAGACGGACAACTCGTATGTCACCTTCTTACTATTGCTGGACTACCAATATGTTGTATCGTCAAATATTTGTTTTTCGTTTGCCTATCTGAAGCGTGGTGTACCCCGGTGGTTCGGTTCTTGGACCACTATTATTCACACTATATATAAATGATCTTCCGTCTGTGCTGTCGACATGTAATGTCCATTTATATGCTGATGTTCAAGTGTATGTAAGTCGTCCCTTAAACAGAATTAGTGAGTGTTTAGATATTTGTAGGATGGAGCTTGCAAAAGTAAATGAATGGGCAAAAAACAACGGTCTTGCCATCAGTCCGTTAAAGTCAAAGTGCTTAATGATTTTTAAGAAGAAATTATGCAATATTGAACTGTTCCCCCTGATGATTAACGAAACACCAATTGAGTACGTGGAAATTGCCAATACTTTGGGTATCACATTTAATAGAACCTTGAACTGGAATGACCACGTAAACAAAGCTGTAGGCAAAACATACGGACTAATAAGATCCTTGTCACTAGTTAAATGTTCCTTACCTGTTCGTTCGTTCTTATTGCGAAGTCT